GCATTTTGCAAGTCATTAAGTGATGACCAGCATTTCTTTTTTTTTTTTTTTAGACAGAGTCTCGCTTTGTTGCCCAGGCTTGAGTGAGTGCCGTGGCGTCAGCCTAGCTCACAGCAACCTCAAACTCCTGGGCTCGAGTGATCCTTCTGCCTCAGCCTCCCGGGTAGCTGGGACTACAGGCATGTGCCACCATGCCCGGCTAATTTTTTATATATATATCAGTTGGCCAATTAATTTCTTTCTATTTATAGTAGAGAGGGGGTCTCGCTCTTGCTCAGGCTGGTTTCGAACTCCTGACCTTGAGCAATCCGCCCGCCTCGGCCTCCCAAGAGCTAGGATTACAGGCGTGAGCCACAGCGCCCGGCCAGCATTTCTTTTTAAATTAAAAAATATATAGAATAAAAAACAGGTGAACTTTATGAAGTAAATTATATTTCAATAAAACTATTTTTAAAAGACTAAATAGAAAATAGTGAATCACAAGTAGTAATAAATACTGAGTATTAAAATCTTTGAATGAACTATAAATACATGTACAAATGTGTGTTTGTATTACTGAGTTATGGTCACACAATTACAAAACTCTAGTTTCGGCAGTCAGGCGCAAGTTTAAGGTAAATTCTTTGTGGGAGGAGAGATGGCCGACTCTCTGGCCTGCTTCATTTCAAGGCATTAGGCTGTCTCCAGTTTAGGTTAAAGCACACATTCTCAATGAGGAATATCGTCCCCAGGAGGAGATACTGGTTATTGGGGGTTAAAAATATCTTACTTGTTTATGTATTAAGCAGATATACACAGAGTACACAGTGTGCACACAGACACACAATACACCTATAGTATTAAAATTTCATAGGTAGGAGGGCAATAATGATTTAAAAAACTTCTCTAAAAAGGCTCCTTGGGGAAGCAATAATGAAGGGAAAAAAAGGCTGAGAAATGCTGGGTTAAAAGAGTTTATTTCATGAACCCTAACTTCGAAGATTCTACATCCAGCTGGAAATGGCACTGTTAGCAAGGCCTTGCCTTTGGGTCACCTAGTTCCGTGTGTGTGTGTGTGTGTGCGCCTGTGCCTGTGCCTGTCAGGGAGAGCAAGAGCTGGTAAGAACATGATCCAAATATACCTAAGGCCCCCTGTCAAATACCATCTCATTCTCATCCAACACCTAATAATGCAATCAGTGCTCAGGTTTACATGAAAAGATGTTGAGTTCAGTTCTACATTGGGACAGACAGGTGGAGCTGCTGAGTGGTTGGAAACAAAGGTTTGTAATCACAGAAAGGAGCTGGTAGGGGTGGAAATTATAGATTTCTGAGTCAAGAAAGAACAGCCTGCCTAGGAAGGAGTATAAAGCCAGAAGGGCAAAGAACCAAAAAGACATGACCCTGAGGAATATTTAAAGGGGGACGGAGGGGTCCTTAATAGTTTAAAACAAAATTAAAACCCCACGAACTATGTAAAGACAGGTCATGATAATGAATGGTACTCAAGAAATAGGGTTAGACTCCAAATTCTTCATGTTTCAGATGAGTTAGAGTCAGCTATGAAAATCATTCCTAAAAGTCTCATTAACATCACATTTTCTTAATTAAGCATGAGTGATCTGAACGGCCTTAATCCTAAAATGAAAAATAACTGTCAGGATAAAGCCTCTCCTAGCCTCAGGAAGATGTGTACAAACAGGCCTTTAGAACGCTACCACCCATGTTCTAAGGAGGCCAATCCCCGGCCTGTGGTAGGGAACGTGGGAGGGAAGCAGGAAAGAAGGATCAGGAAGCCGGGCCACAGAGTTCTCCATAAGGTGTTTCTATTTCCATTTCTGAAATCCTGTGACCATCAGGTCAAACTAATCAATATTGGAAAGTAAAAACACACAACTTAACACAATGCCCGATGCTTGACTGGATCCTAACTGGGGAGGAGGGGTAAAGGTACAAGTAGCATTTGCATGGGAAAATTTAAATATGAACTGGGTCAATGGTTAAGAACCCAAACTCTGTAAAATAATTTAAAGAGGCTTATTCTGAGCCAAATATGTGCAACTGTGGCCCAGAGAGCCACACCCAAGAAGCCTTGAGCAAGTGGTCCCACCATGGTTGGGTTACAGTTTGGTTTTATACATTTCAGGGAGACAAGAATTACACATAAAGTCATAAATCATAAAGACATCGAAGGCATACATTGACTTGGCCTGAAAAGGCAGGACATCTCGAAGCACAGCACTACAGGTTACAGGTGGGTTTGAAGAGTCTTGAAGCTTTGTCTAAAGGCTTAGAATGTTTTAAGATAAGGAAGTCTAATAATCAGAGATAAGCCACTGAACATATACCCAGACTCAAGTGATCTGGTAAATAATGACTTAAAGGTGTGATTTAAGCTTTGACTTGTATAGCCTTATGCCTGTAAATGAGTTACGAAGGATATATATCTTCAAGAGGGGAGACAGCATGACCAGCCATGTCTGACCTCCCTTCTCATGCCCGGCAACTTGGTTCTAGGGTATTTCTAGGGTTCCCTTGGCAAAGAAGGGGATTCAGTCAGCTAGGCAGCTTAAGATTTTATTTTAGTTCACAATTGCACAGTGATTTTATGTCAAGTTTCCTGATACAATTATATCTTGCTTATGTATTAGAATGCCTTTTTTCTTAGTATAAATATAAAAAGTATGTAGGAGTAAAGTGTCATAATATATGTAAGTAAACACCAAAAAAAAAGTCCTTATATAGAGAGACAAAATTATAAAGCATACCTGGCAAAAATGTCAATGACTGATGAACCTAGGAAATGGGGAGATGGGTATTAATGGCACTATTCTTATAACTTTCTGCAGGTTTGATGTTTTTCAAGATACAACATAGAGGAATATAAATGCCTATAAGTATTAAAAATGTTTTTCATTTCCAACAAAGGTTCCAACTCTCCTCCATTAGAATGGCAAATGAAGAGTTCATTCAAAAATGCCTCACAAGGCCGGGCGCGGTGGCTCATGCCTGTAATCCTAGCTCTCTGGGAGGCCGAGGCGGGCGGATTGCTCGAGGTCAGGAGTTCTAAACCAGCCTGAGCAAGAGCGAGACCCCGTCTCTACTATAAATAGAAAGAAATCAATTGGCCAACTAATATATATACAAAAAATTAGCCGGGCATGGTGGCGAATGCCTGTAGTCCCAGCTACTTGGGAGGCTGAGGCAGGAGGATTGCTTGAGCCAGGAGTTTGAGGTTGCTGTGAGCTAGGCTGACGCCATGGCACTCACTCTAGCCTGGGCAACAAAGCGAGACTCTGTCTCAAAAAAAAAAACATGCCTCACAGCATTTTTTTAATACTATTCCCATTCACAAATAAATAAATTTATGTGGCAAAGAGAAATTATTTCAAGTGCATAAACCAAGTCAGCCTCTATATTACATTAAGTTCCTGAGTTATTATATAAATTATTAGAATGTAGATGACATTTTTAAGGTATACTTTCCATATGCTCTTGGATGCTTTATCTGGATTCTTTATTTTAAAGGGTGTATTTGCACTAATGGGTTTTACACCAATGCCAAGAGTTAATGGCAAACTTATTGTGCCAATACAGAGAGACAATCTGAATAAACCAAATCTACATAACACATTGTTTCAATTAATGAATTTTAACTTTAATTAGAACTATGTAAAATTGTAAAAACTATGTAAAATAGTAAAATTGACAAAAAAAGTTTCATCTCCAACCACCCTCATTCCTAAATGAGATTCTATTTAATAACAAAAAGGAGGCTGGGCGCAATGGCTCACGCCTGTAATCCTAGCACTCTGGGAGATCTAGGCTGGTAGATCGCTCAAGGTCAGGAGTTCAAAACCAGCCTGAGCAGAAGTGAGATCCCGTCTCTACTAAAAATAGAAAGAAATTAATTGGCCAACTAAAAATATATACATAAAAAATTAGCCAGGCATGGTGGCACATGCCTGTAGTCCCAGCTACTTGGGAGGCTGAGACAGAAGGATCGCTTGAGCCCAGGAGTTTGAGGTTGCTGTGAGCTAGGCTGACGCCATGGCACTCTAGCCCCAGCAACACAGTGAGGCTCTGTCTAAAAAAAAAAAAAAAAAAAGGAAATAAGTAAATAAATAAAAATGCCCAAAGTACTCAAGTGTGAGTACTTGAACAAAAGAAAGCTGACTTTAGTGAAGGCAAATATTTACTGAGAACCTACTATGCACAAATTTCAATGAGAAATTCAAAGTACAAATGATGGACCTTGTGTCCATGGGGCCACAATTTTGTTGGAAAAGACAAACACAGAGAAAAGTAAAGAGAAAGAATGAAAATTAGCTCTGTCTCTCCTTGTCCAAGCTCCCAACGCCTCAATTCAAAGATTTCTCTCCTAACCAGGCCACTGCAATAGCCTCCTAATCATTACTAATTCATCGGGCCCCTCTAAAACAGTAGCTCTCAAACTCGGGTACTTGCTGGAATCACTTGGGAAGTTATGAAAAATCCAATACCTGAGTCTCTCCTCCAGAGAATCTGATTTAATTATGTGCAGCTTGGGCATCAGTATTTTAAAAAGCTCTTCCAGAGATTCTAATATGCAGCAAAGTTTGAGCACCACTGTTGGAAACCAACCTCTACTGCCCAAGTGCAGAATACAAGGTACTCTACGGCATTAAAACCTCTGGCGACTCCTCACTGCCAACACAAATCCAAATACCTTACCGTGATCTTCAAAGCTCTTCTCCACATCTCCAACCTGGCCCGGGCCCCTCACCTACCATTACTCTACAGCTCTCCACCACACTTCAGCCACAATGAACTTACCACTTGCCTCTGTGCTCTTGCAAGGTATTTCCTATGCACGAAACACTCTTCAAATCAACTTTCAAGAACCAGTTTAAAAGGTTCTTCCTTTCAAAAGCCTTAACTAACTTCCCTGGGTTAATGGTTGCTTCCTTTCTTGTGTTCTAACAAAATGTGGACATAGCTCTAATTTGATATTTATCATGATGTTTATAGTACCAGTTTACCTCTCTGTCTCTTCTAACAGACTGTGCATTCCACAAGGGCAGAGACCACATGCATTCATGTATCTTCGAGTTCCCAGTGCCCAGAAACGGCTGAAACACAATGAATGTTCGATAATTGTTTACTAAATAAATGGGCATCACACACTTGTAGAATAAATGAATAATAATATGCAAAAAGACAAAGGCAATTCAATATGAAATGCCAAATTAGATATACAGGCAAAATCTAACTCCAGAAGTCCTGTGGGGAGAGAATGCATCGGGCTGATATAGAAGCCTCATGAAGACATGGGGTCTTGTTTCCAAGTCTCAAGAAAGGAAATTATCTAGACAGGCCATGAGTGAGGGGCAGATAACTCTGAGTGTGAGAAACAGCACAAATGTGGACCACCACTCAAGAAAAAGCCATTCAGTTCTGCCTCACGATCCTTCAAAAGATGCCCTAAAAAAATCTTTAGAAATTCTTAGTTGGGTAAGCCTATTCTGTCTCCTTGTCCTGCTTTGTTATTTATCCTCTTAGTCCATATCACCAGTTGATAAATTATGGTTCTGCATATTCAACTACAACATAAGCTCCACGACAACAGGAATTTCATTTTGTCTACTCATGCACCCCAGGTTTGTATCAGTGCCTAGCACACACATAGTAGATGTTCAATAAATGTTTGCTGAATGAACAGACATATTTATCATGGGCCTCTGATCCTATGCTTTCATACACTTAAAGACTTCCTCCCTACCTCACCTAATCTCCACACATCCAAATTCTGCCCACCCCCCCAATCCTACTAAATGCCTTTTCTGACTCAAAGCCTTTTCTGATGCCCCAATCTCCCTTTGCTGAACTCTCAAATCCCTGTATCTTTCTTGTCTTCTGACAATTTTCACTGGCTACCTTATATTAACACAATTATCTGGTATTTAGGCATATCTTATCTCCCCTTTATACTGTAAATTCTTTAAAGGAAAACTCTAGATAGTTTTGGCCCCAGAGCATGATGCCTTGTAGAATCTCACTCAGTAATTCCTGTTAGATGAAAGGAAAAACTAAATTAAAGGTGTTATTAAACTTTTAGTATCGTAATATAATATTAACATTAGAAAGACTGGCAATAATTTCTCTTTGCTCATCTTGGCCCTATTATACCTGATTCCTTGAAATTATAATATCCAACACTTGTATCATGCTTTAAATGTGCCAGACATTGTTCCAAGGCTTTACATAAATTAACTCATTTAATCCTCAAAACAACCATATGCGATAAGTATTATTATTATCCCCACTTCACAGATGAGGAAACTAAGGCATAGAGTGGTTCATGCAGCCAGTAAGTGGCAGAGCTAGGATTCAAACCTAGGTAGCCCAGCTGCAGAATCCATGAACTCAGCCACTATCCTGTAATGCCTTTATGATTGCTAGGCAGCCAATCTCTACATAAACCTAATCACAGCCTTCTAAGAAACTTATAAAATATTAGAGATGCAAGGATATTTAATTAAAGCAAGGCACTGTCCTTATCATATCAAGAAACATAGAATTCCAAAAGGCAATAAAAGTAGATAACAGATAACCAAAAAAGGAATGGAGGTTTTTGTAGTACAACATTGGGAAGGATAAATGTGGTTAAGAGACCAGTGGATCAAGAACATCAGAAGCATTTGTAAGCAGGGATGGAAAAGAAAGGTGACCATAAGCTTTGGCATGAAGTTAACATGGGAAGAGCCCATGTTTTCCATATAATAGTAGGTACTGAAGTCAACCTGCCTGGGTAACTGGTTCTGTGATTATAGGCAAGAAACTTGATCCCTTTGTCTCAGTTTCTTCAACTGTAAAATGGGCTGAGGGGCACTTATTTATGAGTATCAATGATAATAATCCATGTGTATTCATCAGGATGGGCATATATGATGCAGTAACAAAAAACTCCATTAAAAAACCTCAGTGATTTAAAGCAAAGGATTACTCACTTACACTATGTAACCACGGCATATTTCTTTCAAAAGAAAATGTATCTGCCTAGAAGTGGCACACAACCCTTCAACTCAAATTTCAACATCCAAAGCAAGTTACACAGCCATGCCCAACTTCAAGGTAACAGGCAAGTAAGTACATTCCTACCACAAGGCCATACAAAAGAGAATCAGAATATTGATGAAAAGTCCTAACAACCATACAATGAAAGAGACTAGCATCATACCTGGCAAATTCTAAGCACTAAGTGATTGATAACTATTATTACTGTCATGATTATTGAGGGGCCTTAGAAAAACCTATTCTAACAAATGTTAAGTCACACAACTGAATAGCTGAATAAGTAGATGTAAAAAAAAAATCTTCTCATGCACATTATTTGCAATAAAGCAAAGGTGAATTGATAAGAATTCACCATGATGTTAAGGGGGGGACATGCCAAAAAATTACTATTAAGCGAAAAATAGTAAACAAGAGTTACCAAAATACTGCAACAAGCATTTTACCATGATATGATAGGGGAACATGCCAAATGTTTCTAGTAAACAAGACATAGTAAACAAGTCTTCCCAAAATAGTACCACCCATTCTTATTCATTTAAAGACATGTAACATTTCATTGATACTGTTTTATTTTAGAGAATATTAAAAAACTCACACAGCCTTTCACAGGTTCACTCCTAATCTCAGAGCACTACTGTCCTCTATTTTCCCCATAAATTCTTTTTGTTTTGAAACAGAGACTCACTCTGTTGCCCTGGCTAGAGTGCCATGGCGTCAGCCTAGCTCACAGCAATCTCAAATTCCTGGGCTCAAGCAATCCTGCCTCAGCCTCCAGAGTAGCTGGGACTACAGGAATGCGCCACCATGCCCAGCTAATTTTTTTCTATATATATTTAGTTGACCAATTAATTTATTTCGATTTTTAGTAGAGACAGAATCTCACTCTTGCTCAGGCTGGTTTCGAACTCCTGACCTTGAGCAATCTGCCCGCCTCGGCCTCCCAGAGTGCTAAGATTATAGGCATGAGCCACCTCACCCAGCCCCCCATAAATTCTTAAGGAAAATTCTTCTATGTGGGTTTTCAGGACCCAAACCCTTGAAGGTTAGGGGAAAAGTCCTATAGAGTCAAATGAAAACTGAATTCTAATCGTGACTTGGCCATAGACTAGCTCTGTGGCCTCACAAAATATTTACATGACTAGGACCCCATTCCATCATAAAATGATGAAATTAGACTAGATGTCTTCAGAAGTACCTTCCAACTCTACTCTTCTACAATCCTGAGAGGCTAAAAAGAAGCTTTACTTTCCCAAAATCTAGTTATGATGCTTAAATCTTAAACTAGTAGAAAGAACTGCCACAACCACACTTGAAACTGCAAGAACAAAGCTTACTTCAAGAGTAAACATGAGGCCCAGCACCTTGGCTCACACCTGTAATCCTAGCACTCTGGGAGGCTGAGGCAGGTGGATTGCTCGAGGTCAGGAGTTTGAAACCAGCATGAGCAAGAGGAGACCCCATCTCTACTATAAATAGAAAGAAATTAATTGGCCAACTAACATACATAGAAAAAATTAGCTGGGCATGGTGGCGCATGCCTGTAGTCCCAGCTACTCGGGAGGCTGAGGCAGTAGGATTGCTTAAACCCAGGAGTTTGAGGTTGCTCTGAGCTAGGCTGACGCCACGGCACTCACTCTACCCTGGGCAACAAAGTGAGACCCTATCTCAAAAAAAAAAAAGAGAGAAAACGTGCAACACAGTTAAGAGTACGCAGAGAGAACCCTGCTGGCATGAAATGCTGCAGATACAGAGACCAGATAAGGATGGACAGAGTCTGATTATTATGTGTAAATAAGGAGACTGGTATTTGTGTGAGGCTTATAAAGTCAAACTCTTTTAGTAACATCTCAGACAGCATTCCAAGAAGCAGTGGCAGCACTGGGAACAAACTTGAAGCAAGGAACCTCTAAACCTTTTAAGCTTGGGATCTGTCAAATTATCCCATCTCAATTCCAACATACTGGGCTTTCCAATTCTTTAAAACCCCATAGCAATAATTCAAATACATGTGTTCAGAGAGCCTGGCATGGTAGCATGTACCTGCAGTCCCAACTACTCAGAAGGTTTAGGCAAGAGGATTGCTTCAGCCCAGGAGTTCAAGTCCAGCTTGGGCAACATAACAAGATCCCAACTCTTAAAACATATACACACAAACACACACACACACAAATACATGCCCAAATATCTAGAACTTAAAATCCTTTTGGGAAAGTGAGACAAAAAAGCCCAAAGCAGCATGTGACAAAATGTTAAGTCCCTGTGAATACTTGAGTCATTTTCAGCTAAACAGAAGCCCTTACTCAGATAACCTACCACCACACTTTTACTGACTCTGCTCTGAGAGTGTATAACTGTCCCTACAACAGAATTAATGGGAAAACAGTGCTGATTTGTAATGAAAACCAACAGAAGACAATACAGCATTAACTCATGCCATAAACAAAATAGACACCGCTGCATTATAAATTGTGCTGTGCTGGCAGCCCTATCCATAATCTTTAAGGAATCTTCCAATTCTAACATTCTGAATCTATAAACCACATGGGACACCCCTTACTGTCTCTCATGTTTCAAGAGTCACTGCCTACATTTCTAGCAATTTCCTGCTTGAAAACCTAAAACCCAGTACATATATTTAATAAAACTGCTGTAGGATTAGACTCATTTTATTATGACTGGAACAGCATTTCAAAAGCTATGATTCTACATCTTTACTTACTTCTATAGCCAAATTTCCTCCCATGTGTTAATCAGAAAATAATTTTCAATTCTGCAATGGATACTGATCAATATACTAGAATCAATGCTATCACTGATTTTTAGAAGTTTAAAACTTCAAGTACAAGTAGATGGGAAGGGGAGAGGGAGAAGCATATGCAATCCTGAACAAGCAAAAGAAATCCCTTCTATTAACAAATCAATTTTTAAATATATTAGAAAGGGACAAAGAATAAGACTCAGTCTTTCAAGGGAGCCTTGATGAATATTACAAAAAAACAAAGATTCCCTTTATAAACTGAAAAACAATTCTCTAAGCTGACAGATAAACTTGAAA